ATGTGATTGACATGCGTATTCGAAAGGTGGTTGATTTACATAGATGGTATGATATGATGAAATGTGAGCAACTTAATATATGTGAATATGAAATGGTTTTATAATCATTTTTCCTATAAATTGTTAATTTTCATATTTAGCCAATGATATAGTTATATGAAGTGGGATTTGACGTGCATATTGGAAATATGGTTTGTTTTGTATGATTGGCTTGATTTGATGAGATGAGGGCTAGTGGTGGACCTGTTAACCCATTGTCATGGGTTTGTTGTTTTGAAACATGTGTCAATGCTCGTTTCATTATTTCATATCTTGTTTCGTTGAGCCTTTATAACTGGAGTAACTTGATTCATGTGTTGTTTCATTGGTTGGTGGTTATGCAATGTACTCCGCGATTCCGTTGAGTGATGGTCTGGAATCCTTCCTACTCCACTCTGCGATTCCGTTAAGTGATGGTCAGGAATCGTATCTTGGTTTGGGTTCCGTTGAGTGATGGTCCGGAATCCCTCTTACTTCGCGATCCCATTAAGTGATGGTCCGGGATTGTATCCACCTTAGTTCATTGAGTTTAGTTTGAGATGGTTGCAAAGGTGTAGGCTTTGGATGAACAGTGTCGCCCTAATTCTACTTTCATTGTGTGTATGTGAATATGGGTGTAAGATGTTATGGTTGTTTGAGATGAACTTTTGGATGTCTGGGTGACTCCCTCGGAGTTTTCAAAAGTTTGGTATTGATTTCTTATGAAAGATTTATATTCAATGTTTATAAATTATGATTGATGGCTGGTTTTATTATTGTATCACATGCTTATTTTATTGTCCCTCACCCGAGCCTCTTAGCTTATCTGAGTGCCTGATTTGCCAGTGCACCAATTCCATAATATTGGCATTGACTTTACATATGGCAGGTCTGAGTAGATTATGAGAAACCGCTTGGTATTTTGGTTCCGTTGAGTGGTCTAGAACCCAATGTTGTTGGATTCTGTTGAGTGGTCCAGAATCCTTGCTCTTGTTCATTCCATAAGGTGATCTTAGAATCCTAAATTCGAGTAGATGGGAATTACTCACAATAGATATTGTGAAAATAAATTAGAATCGCCATGTTATTATTCATAACCCAAGTTGGGAATTATGTAGAATTCATTAATTAAATTCGTGAAATGATATGTTATCTCATTGATTGATTAACATAATTAAATATTAACATTGTGCTTTGTGATTCCTTGATATGTTACAAGCTATGTATTGAGATATAATGTTGGAAGTATAGTGAATTGGTAAGATGAAGTGAAATGGGATTTGACTTGTGTATTGGAAATAGTTGTGACATGTGAATGAAATGCGTATTGAATTGCTTGGGAGATGTGAGGTCGAGTAATTGGCCAATAACCCATTGTGATGTGGATTTGTTGCTCGATATTGTTTCGCTTCGTTGAGTTTTTGGGAATTGAGTAACTTGAATCATGTCTTGTTCCTTCGAGCCGTTGTTATGTTTCTTGGACTTCCGTTCAATTCGGTTGGGTGGTCTGGAACTGAGTTCTGTTTGGATTCCGTTGAGTGATGGTCCAGAATCCCCTTTGATGCCTTGGTTCCGTTGGGTGGTCCAAAATTTCCCTTTTTCCAAAGATGTAGTCTTCAACTGAATTGTGTTGCTCTAGCCTTGCGTTTCGACTTGTTGTATGTGTTATTGATGATGTAATGGTTGACATTATTGATTGATGTGATTATGGAATGACGTTGGATATGAGTGGGGTTATCATGAGTATTTTAGTTGAGTGATATTTCTAGAGAATAATGTGTACTTTGTTAATTATTAACTATGTTACACACTATGAAATGCGATTTTATGTGGAAAACGTGATGAATTATGTGATGGTTGAAGTGGAAAAGTAAATTGTCATGTGGGATTGTTATGTTGGATACCATGGTTATTATTATGACTAGACTTGTTGATAAATGTGGGTAGAGAATGGTATAGTACATCGTTGGTTCTTTGAAATGATATATGTTGTGAATTGCGGTATCATGTTGTGACATAATTGCCTATATATTGATGGAGGGGAAATCATGATTTTCAGATGGGTTGTTATGTAACCCTAAGTCTAGTATTTTCATGCTTGTCAAGTTCTATTGATTGATTGAGAAATGTTATACCTTTCGACTTAATCGGATTGTGTTATATGTCAATTATTGTGCTTGACGAACTACGAATGGCTTGATCCCTGTCTAGGGTACGTAGGCAGTCTAACAGGGAGGTTAGATGCAGCCATAAAGCATACGAAAATAACTATGTGATTCGATATTTGAGTTGTGCTTGCCCATATCCCGGAGGTGGGATATGATAGATACGGATTTTTGGTGACGCCACGTGTCAATTCTGGACGTATGTCGAGATTGGGGCGTGACAGCTTTTCCACCGACTTCTTTCGTCTACTGGTTGCGATCGGCATGAGGGTTGTTGTAGGTTATAGAAGTCACCAAATTCTTTGTTTCTGGGCGGTGGCTGCTTGATGGTGGTTCAGGGCGTGGGTTTGTGCTGGCATAGATGTTTTGCAGTGTTAGAACATTGGTTGGTCGGAGTGCTGGACGGATTGTGATGGTGACTCTTGACATTTCTGGCAACGGAGGGGACTGCAAGGTTCTAGGGAGTTCTGTAGTTTTGTCTATGTTTGTCTTGGGCCCAAAACTTGTTTTGAGCTCTTTTGTGTGTACTATTTAGGTCCATTGTTTTGTTTTGTGCTTATGTAGTTTGTGGACCTCTTTGTATCTTTGTTTGGCCTTGGCCCTATAATACAATGTACAGTTTCCCCAAAAAAAAAAGATCATGAATATTGAACATTGCCAAAGGCTTGATGATTTTTCATTGTACCATGATACTCGAATGTAATGAAATAGGAACTAGGAAGTTAACATAACTTTCATATTTCTCTTTTCATGTTGTATGACGAGTAAGGTTTATATCCTCGCTCATTTTACCTTCACCCTCTCCCTCCTCTTTAGATGTAATTTCTTTCTTCTGATCAATAAAATGGCTCTCGTATTGAGGCAACCAATTTCATATGTAAAACCATATAATATCCACTGCATGAAAAACAAATTGACATCCAAATACTTGTGATAGCCGCACATAGACTGATCAAATATAAAAAAACCAAATTCATCGTACCCCTAAGCAATGAAACTTTGAAAAGTCAAACTCTTGTACAAGCATGAACGTCTCTAAATGAGAGCAGGATTTTCTCTCCTCTTTTTTTTTACATCATCTTCGCTTCCCTTTCCTTTCCTCTCCTCTTATTTGAACGATTACGGTTAAGTCACGTCAATATCTTATATTATTATTTTTTTATAGAAAGAGAAATACAAAATAGAAAATGTGAGAGAAGGGGATAGAAAGAGGAGGGGAGAAAATCCTAGTCTCTCCAAATAAAGGAGAGCAATGTACTATCAAATGTATTTTTTTTTTTATATAGGAGGATCTTCTCCGTATCCTCTTTATAAGGATCAGGGGATTCTCAAATTGTGTCCGTTCATCGTATATCATGCGGTCAGTTTTCGTCAGGTACTATTTATGTTTAATTTAAAATAAAAGTATATCTTATATTATTATTTTTTTATAGAAAGAGAAATACAAAATAGAAAATGTGAGAGAAGGGGATAGAAAGAGGAGGGGAGAAAATCCTAGTCTCTCCAAATAAGGGAGAGCAATGTACTATCAAATTTATTTATTTTTATATAGGAGGATCTTCTCTGTATCTTCCTTATAGGGATCAGGGGATTCTCAAATTGTGTCCGTTCATCGTATATCATGCGGTCAGTTTTCGTCAGGTATTATTTATGTTTAATTTTAAATAAAAGTATTTAAAATGATTTCTGACCACACGATATACTATGATCGAATCCGATTTTCAGATCCCCAGGATCCTCACAAAGAGTATCCAAAAAGAATCCTCATTTGGTCATAGGGTTAGTGAGTTAGATATTTAATTACTAAAAAAGGTAGAAAAATTAGTGAAAATCAATCCCGTCTCTGCATGTATAAAAAAAAAGGGAAAACTTGATATATGTCCAATTTTTTTAGCCAATAGTAGGAATAATCCAATTTATTAAAATAAGTCCAATTCCTTAAATTTAATTATTTTATTATCAATAATTATCTATTCAATGATAAGATTTATTATAAAAATCAAATTTCTTCCCAATTATCTCTTTGATTATTTATTTTTATTTTTTGTTCTTCCTTCTGCTTTAAACCCCATTTATAGATTTTATTTTTAATTTTTATAATCAATCTATATCACAGGTTAATTTATTTTTATGTATCTATACGAAAGATTCTTTTTTTATAATCAACGTGTCACAAATTCATGTGTCTTGCTTATAGGTATATTATGTTTTTTCCTACCTTTTAGTTAGGTTTCATATCTTACTTACCGGTATAATATATATTCGTATATTTGTTACTTGAGTTAAGGTACAATGTTTTGTTCATAATTTATGTTAGTATATTAGTTTTTTTTTTTTTTTTTTGTAAGATATTAATTAGATTTTTTGGAGTTGAAAAATGCATAATATTAGAAGATTTTAATTGATTTTTAATATTTAAAAAAAATATAAAATGAGTATAAAAGAAATAAAAACATGTAATTAGATAATTGGACTCACTTTTAAAAATCATCTATGTTTTTGGACCTAGATCTAAAAGCCCCTAAAAAAATAAAGAAAAACTAATGAAAATGGTTTAAAAAAGTTTGAGTTTTAACGATAATGACAAAATAAAATGTAAAATAAATAGTAACATGATTGACTTTTTAATGTAAAAATATAATTTTTTGTTAAAATAAATAGTACCTAAAGTTTTTTTTATTAAAGTTTACCACCGTAATAAAATATCATTTACATCAAATAGTTGCTTCCCACTACCGTAATTAATTGACCAAAATCGTGTCCCAAAAGAAAAGAAAAACTTCAACCAAAAGGCTATTTCGTTTTGACCCCCCGAATAAAAGTTTCTCCTAGTTCTGGTCCGAACTGCAGTTTCTCAAACCCTTCGTCGCCTCAAACTCTCTCTCTCTCTCTGAGACATGGTGGCCTCGTCCTCATCGTTGTCTGAGTACTCCTCGGACTCGTCCTCGTCGTCTTCGTCTGTATCTCGCCGCAGACATCATCGCCACCACCGCAGTCGCCGAGATAAAGACAAGGATAAAGACAAAGATGCCCTCAAGATCCGAAAAAAGACCAGTCGCTCCAACACTAAACGACGTCGCAGACACCGCCACCGCCACTCCTCGTCGGATTCTTACTCTTCCTCCTCTCCTTCCGATTACAGGTCAATTTACAAAACCCTTCTTTTATTTTTTGGGCTTATGTATGGTGGCTTTAATTTTGTTATTAGTTTTATCCTCTGTTTGGTTAGGGTTTTGAATATTGTGACTAATTCTGAGTAACCCTAATTTTAGTTATTTTATTCGGCGTTTAACATGGTTATGTAAATTATTGCAATTTGTATGCAATTTGGTGATTTGTGTAGTTCCCGTAGCTAACATTGGAAAGTTTCAAAACGGCCGGATGGGAAAATTAGGTTGGTTTCAGCTCAAAGTTAAGGTCTTTTATCTTTTAATTTGTAAAAAAAAACATGCATCAGTTGGTTAAAATCAATTTTAAGTTAAATTGAAGCATGGTTTTCGATCCGGAAGCTTTAGTTGTCAAGGGGAAAGTAGTGGATTATATTTAGGATGTGTGGACCCTGTGAGGTGCGTCGACTACAGGTAATTGATAAGGGCTATATGGCTGTTAGGCAAAGATTTTGAGTTGCTGAAGTGATTCATATGCTGTGTTATGGGTTTTCTGCTTTAGAATTTCAATTTGAAATCATTATCTTACTAGGCAGTGCGGTTTAGATGCACGTTAGAATATTAATGGCGATAGTTGGATGGCTTTTCCTTTTAACATCTTTTGTTTTTTGTTTAATGTAGAAGTGATAGTTCTTTGGACAGTGAGCTTGAAACATCTAGTAAGTCAAAGAAGCGCAAGAAGAGTGACAGACATAAGAAGGTGCTTGTTCGGCATTCCTTGTAATGTAATTATATTACAAATTTACATTACATCTTCTGCGAGTCCGTTGGTCGCATTTAATTGATCCTTTCCATCTAGGGCAAGGAAAAGGACCAGAGCAAGACTCATCGCCGTAAACATAATAGGAAACTCAAAGAGGTAGGCCAGTATGCTTTATGTAGAGCTCTTGCCTCCATATGATTGCTCTATTTTTAATTGTGTTAAGGCTTTTATCATTGTCCTTTTGTAGCTTTTTGCTTAAACAAATTATTTATTGTCAACTTTGCGGCATTTGTTAAAATTGTTATACATGCATTGTACTCCAACTTCAAAGAGTAATAAAAAGATATAGAGACAGTAAGACAAGATGTGGAAGTTGATCGTGCATCTTGCCTCCATGTGACTTTTTGTTCAAATTTGATTCATTGTCTGATCCAGACCATGGCTTAACTAAGATATATGGTGGAACACTACTGGGTTTGTTTATATAGTTGTGGATGCATCTTGATCCAGCTTCAGAGTGTGGTAAATAAATTTAGTACGACTAAACAAAAAATTGGACGAGAAGTTGCACATAGGAAATTTTCTCGTCACTCTTGCCTGTTGTGTTCTGCTAATTAAATTGTCACACGCACACACAGTTTCTTGCATTCACAATGTTGGCCATTAGATGCATAAGATATTATGTTTCAATAGCTGAGGTGCTTATAGTACTTTCTGCCTGTTTTATGAATTGGCTCTTCGAAATTGGAGCTGGGGTCTGTGGCATGATGACTGGGTGCTCATTGGCTTGCCTGGATAATGTGTCTGGATTGTGTTCTTTCCTGGCAATGGGAGCCATATATAGAAACAGAAGAATGAGAGAAGTAGCGGCCCCGTTCAGCTTTCAAAGGTTTTCATTTCACTCTCTTATAATTACATCTTCAATATTCTTTTTTATTTTATCGTATCAGTGAAATAACATTTTGCTTCCTACAGTTTTTAGGGCGTGACAAAGATAACGGAGTTCGTCGCAGTGCTGTCTCTGGAAAAAAGGTAAGCCTTGCACAGTAATATATTTCTGTACTGTTTATCAAAGATTTATTAGAGATGTTAGGGGCATCTGCGCTGGTCTATCTCTTGTTCGTTTGTTGTGGCTAAAAATAGAAAGAGAAAATATGTGTTCTTTCGTCTTGCAGATTCTACTGAAACTTGAGAAGACAAAGGAGGACAAGGCGGCTGAAGACAAAAGGAATGAATTGCTGAAGTTCTTAAATGCTAGTTTTGATTGATGTTGTGGAGTCCATGGAATCAACGAGTGAATGAACGAGTTGAGTCAGTTCCAGCATCTGCTCCCTCATCTTAACGATTTCGAAAGGACTTTCTCTTAGCTCCAAGTTTAGCAAAGAGTCGTATTTTGCACTCATGTTCGCCAATTAGAGTGTGGTTGAAAAACTTTGGTTTGGCCGATGTATTAGTATTCATTTCGTACTGTCATTATATATTATCTTATATCGAGGATTCACCCCGGTAAGCTTTTTCAAATTGATCAGTGTAGCAAACTTGGTAGCTGGTTGATGATTTGCCCGTGCATCATGCTAATAAACAGATTAATTGATCAATTTGTAAAGGGTATTTTATCACTTTAATGTAAAAGTTCTTGTTTTGTCTCGTAATTTTTAACTGTTTGTCGTTCATTCCGGGTGATGTATGTGCAGAATGCAGGCTGCATGTTATTTTTGTGTATTTAACGACATGAACAAGTTGGTTTTTGTGTATTTCAACAACTTCGAGCAGATCTTGGATATAATTATCTACATACTCTGTTGCCTGCTGGTTAGCGAAACATTGCCGGTAGTGCCGATGCGGTTGTTTCTATATGATAATATAGACCTTGTTTGCTGCGATCCCTGCGGATGATATAATGAGAGCGAAGAATGAATGATCCTTGTGATCGAGTTTGACTCAAGCGAACTCACAAACGATTGGCAAGTGAAGAAATGATCTTTTTGCGTAAATACTTAGAAAGCCTAATATACAGAGAGATTTATCATCTCATGCAACCAAGTTTACTTAATATGAAGAAAAATTTCTGATCTCATGCAACTAAATTTAAGTGTTAGATGCCAATATTACGTGTTAAAAAATGTACTACCGTCTAATAGGCGATTGTCTCTTGCTTTAGAGCAATTTCATAGTAATTGCTTTTTGCATTTCTACCCTAAATTGAATAACAATAACAATAGGCAATAAAATATTAGTATTTTTTATTTCGTACAATAATAAAAAATAATTTTTGTTTGTAATTTTGGATATGATTTTAACCTGATCTCGTCACGACATGTGTCATTATCCGAAAATATAATTTTTTGTGATAGATTTCGATAAGATTTTTGTCCAATTCCGTTGCGCTGCGTGTTGTTATCTTTTTAGAATCGTTGAGGATATATTTCCGATAAGATTTTTAATCAATCTCATCACGTCATGTGCCATAATCTGTTCAGAATATTTGATGATAGATGTGCCACATGATATTATGAGTTAAGAACTTTAAGAAAGAACAGGGCCCAAAGACTAATATTCCTACGTGTGTTAAGAAAAAAATTTATTTTCCAATCGTACATCAAAATTACAAACAAAACAATATGATAAATCGAATTGTGGATTTAACAGGGCAAAGTAGTCATTTCCCACACCCTCAGCTCCTATATAAACCCCCTTGCGCAATTAGGGTTAACAAGTTCCGCAACGGCTTTGAGCCTCCTCCCAAGCGGATGAGTTCTCTCCCTCCCTCTCTCCGTGTTTCTCTGTCTTTATATTTTACAGATGTTTTTCGAGGTTGAGTTCCGTTTAATATGATTGGTTTGTGGTTTGTGTTTGGTGTGAAATGTGTGGGTCGCACATAGTTCTTCTTGGAATGTTATTCACTGGTTCCAGGATTTTATTTGTGCGTAAATCGATATCCTTTCTGCTTGAACCTTCTCCTTTCAATGGAGATGTGTTCCAATGTTTACTGGATCACAATTTTTCTTCTTTCAACATTTTAATTTTTTACGTATCATACACTTGGATTCTTATTTGCTACTATAATATTTTTTTTCTTTGGGGTTTCATATATCAGCTGCTATTAAATCATCTTGAAGTTTCTTTGAGGTCTCAAGTATTCCTCCGAATTTTTATTTGTATTATTGCTTTATTTTTTTTGTGTTACAAAATACAAACTGAAGTGCCAGTTGTGGAAGTGCCAATTTTTTGAAATTATTAGGGGTTTACTCATCTGGCCATGATTGTTTCTTTCTGGTGGAATTGTTTATTTCCAGGTAGGGTAATCTTGAAATTGTTTGATTTTTTTTTTTTTTTTTGTTTCTAGGTACTATTATCTTGAAATTGCTTGGGCTTTTCTCATTTCTTGAAATGATTTTCTTGAAAAAAATGGATTTTTTTTTCTGCATAAACTTCTAAATGTGCTAAAATATTGGCAAACTTTAATCATTCGTAAATTAATCACCCACTCCTCCACCGCCTTGACCCGATCTTGTGGTTGGTTAGAAACAGCTCTCAAGAAAATGGTGAGTAATGACTGGCGAAGCCGTTTGAGTTCAGCTTTGAAACCCCAAGCAAGACTGAGTTCTTGAGCATCAAGTGACGCTAGTTTCGAGAGTATTGATTATTGTAATTTGACACCCGTTCTTTCGGTGGCCTCGGGAGAGGAACTCTTTGCAAATGAGGTTTCATCTTTACTTTGTGCTGAATTTTGATCTACGTGGATTTAAGGTATCTCAAACTTAGTAAAATCTATATTTTGCTCAAAACTGGATGTGATAAAAGAGTTTAAGAAATATCTTTGACGGTAAACAAAAAAAGATTTGATAGTCGGCAGGATATCACCTGTACGAAGAGATGAGATATATGTAAAGACATTTGATTCTAGAATTGGTAAGAACGATCCTGCAGTGCCCTTATAAATGTCTAAACCTGGATATCACCTGTATACAGGGATTAGACATTTGTAAAGACACTACAGAAGTGATTTTACCAATTTTGGAATCAAATGTCTTTACAAACGTTTCATCCCTGTGCACAAGTGATATCCAGTCGACTATTGGATCTTCTTTGTTTATCGCCAACTTCCACTTCTTAACTCTATATCCCATGCAGTTTTGGACGAAATATAGATTTTATTGAGTTCGGGATAGAACCCCTTGAATCCACGGATTTCATATTTCTGCACGATGTAAAGATGAGACCTCATTCGCAAAGAGTTCGACTCGCGAGGCCACTAAAGGGATGGGTGCCAAATTACAATAGTCAGGATGCTAAACATGTCAAAATAGAGCAAATTAACAAATAAGCTGGTGCGGATTTGAAAAGCTTACATGGATTAATTTCAATGTTGAAGTTGTTTGTACATAAAACTGGAATACAAGTAATCTCGGAGAAACGTGGCCTTGCACACCATGAAATTTGGTATTTCCAATACAAATTTGTTGTAGTTTGGTAAGGTACTGCCTACCTTCAATCCAATGATTATATGCTTTTCCATCAACTGATTTAAAAGAAGAGGGAGAAGGATACTAAACTTTTGTTATTGTTATGTAGTACCTGAGTCAAATAAAAGAGATAAACATATAACCTGAACTCCATAACATGATTTTAAGAATTAAAAAAACATACTTTTGATATATGGAATGTGAGAATCTTCGAATATATGGAATGTGAGAAATCTTCGGCTAATCTGTGTCGCTATCATCCCTGCTGCATCTTTGGTTGTGGTGGGAATCAACACAATTATGAATGAACTAATGGACACATGAGTGTATGAGGTCAATAAGATAAGAAGCTTGGCTTTTATGTATATTCAACCGAGTTGACATGTAAAGACATTACACAATTAGTAGGAAGAAACTGAACGTTCTTGATCACGAAGACATGGTTGGCAAAAAAGTTTTGTTTCCATAAGAAACAGAAGCAACATGCAATTCACACACATTTTGCCCTTGTAGCTAAGATGACAAAATATGTGTCCTACAGGGCAGGTACCTGTTTCAGCAGTTAATAAACTTGTTTCAGCAGTTAATAAAAAACATAAAAAGTATTCAGTACTTGTTCAAGTTGCTAATTTTCCAAGCACAAATGTTCAAAGCCAAAAATTTGCAAAAGGCCTGTTTCCATTTGAAACAGAAGAAACATAAGCAACATGCAGAGGACGCCTTATTTACTCTAATCCTCACTAACCAACTAAACTTAAATGCTATTGTTTTGCCTCAAATAAATTGTACCCCTCTCTCCCCCATTTTCTGCGTAATTCACTACCTAAACAATGCAATAAAAAACCAAAAGAAGTGATTTTACACGCATATCATTCCATCTCTCAAATTTACACCAATGATGCATGCATGAACCTTAATTAATATTGTATTGCGAGTGAAATTTCCATTTTTAACCATTAAATCAAAACAACCACTGCCGGGTAAGCAAACATGAGCTACTTTCATAAAAAAATTAAAATTAAAGACATAAACTTCACATAGCTAGAACCTGACAACCAGCATATAAATCTAAAGCAAAAATCAGGCTCAAATGTATGTATTTCCACAGATGCATTTGATTGTAAACCGATTAACACCCCTATGGTCCAAAATCACCATCTTGCCATGCAACCTGATTAAGTTCCTAATAACCAAGATCGTTATCAAAGATTAGTTGGGAGGTTAATTTATTTATCTCATACCAGGCCTGATATTGCATATACAGTAAATGTTGTTAGTCAATTTATGCATTCTTCGAGTGATACGCATATGGGTGCGGTTGAACGTATTCTACGATACCTAAATCCTTCCCTGTGTAGTGGCATCATGTTCTCCAAGAATGGTCATTGTTGAATAAAAGGTTATACCGATGCAGATTGGGCAGGGAATATTTCTTATCGACGGTCCACATCTGGTTACTTTACATTTGTGAGGGGAGATTTAGTGACTTAGCGGAGTAAGAAACAGAAAGTGGTTGTGTGCAGAGGCGGAATATAGGGGTATGGTAAAAGGAGTATGTGAATTCTTATGGCTTTGGAGGTTACTATCAGAACTCGAGTGTCCTTCAATATCAGCTTCGAATTTGTTTTGTGATAATAAAGCAGCGATTGATATCTCACATAACCCAGCATAGCATGATTGCACGAAACATGTGAAATTGACAGACACTTCATCAAGGAAAAGTTAGATGAGAATATTATTCAATTCATGTTCGTAAAGTTAGAGGATTAATTGGTTGATATCTTAACTAAAGTTGTTCCAAGTTAAGCGTTCTACAGCTCTCTTGTCAAGTTGGGCATGAACGACATTTATGCACCAACTTGAGGGGGAGTGTTGGAGAGTTGGCCTTTTGTAATTAGTTTAGCTACCTATTTAAGTCCTTGTAATCAGTTTGTAATTAGGTTATTTGATGTTTCTTTCCTTGTAAATCACTCTTATACATTATCTATTTCCCTTCTTGGTGAGAAGAATGATATTAAAAAAATTAAACCCCCAAAATAAGCCCTAATTAACACCCTTGTCAGGCTGCTTCTGCATTAGCCTTTTGCAACACCAAGGCATTAACAGCCTCTTCTTCTTGCCCGACTTCTGCTTCGCCAGATGTGCCTTGGGCTGCAAGTACAAGGAAAAGTTAGCAATCATAATTA